AGCATTAGTGAAGCTATAATTTGTGAGAAGGCCAGACAATTGTTTGAGGATCTTAAAAGTCAAGACTCCCAGTGATAGTGATGTGCCAGTGTTTAGGGGTACCAAGGGGTGGTTTACCGGTTTCAGAAGGAGAAATAAATTACATAGTGTTGTGAGACATGGTGATGCTGCTAGTGCAGATAAGGAAGCAGCTAAGGAACACCATGACATTTTTTTTAATGTGATTAAAGAGGGAGGCTTTGTTTCTCAGAAGGTATTCAATTGTGATGAAAGTGGACCTTTTTGGAAAAAGATGCCTTGCTGTACATACATTACAAGGGAGGAAACTTCTGTCCCTGGCCATAAGCCAAGGAAAGACAGGCTTACCCTCCTTCTTTGTGCTAATGCTTCTGGTGACTGCAAAATAAAACCACTCCTTGTGTACCATGCAGAAAACCCCAGAGCTTTCAAAAACATTAGGAAGAACCGCCTTGGTGTTATGTGGCGGTCAAACCCAAAGGCTTAGATGACCAGGAGTCTTTTCTCTGAGTGGGTGATTGAGGTGTTTGGACCCAGTGTTCGGGAATACCTCAGGGAGAATAATCTTCCACTGAAAGCTTTGTTGGTGATGGACAATGCACCAGCCCACCCTCCTAATTTGATGGTTGAATTGCCAGAGGAGTTCACCTTCATCACTGTGCACTTCTTGCCACCCAACACAACACCTCTCATCCAGCCCATGGATCAACAGGTAATTTCTAACTTTAAGAAGCTGTACACAAAGGCACTGTTTAGAAAATGTTTTGCGTCCACTTCTTCCAGTGATGTTAGTTTGAAGGAATTTGGGAAGAGTCACTTCAATATAGCAGACGCTGTGTTTTTAATTGCGTCAGCCTGGAAAGAGGTTACTATGAGGTGTCTTTGTGCTGCTTGGAGGCCATTGTGGCCTGAATGTGTGCTTCAAAGAGAATTTGAAGGCTTCGAAGAGTTAGAGGAAGAGGCTGTTGTACATGAAATTGTGTCTCTGGGCAATTCCATGGGCCTGGAAGTGGATGATGATGATGATGTTGAGGAGTTGGTGGAAGAGCACAGTAAGGAGCTGTCCACTGAGGAGCTGCTTGAGCTTCACAAAGAAGAAAATGAGACACTGAAGCAGAGCTTAACTTCTGAGGAGTCAGGGGAGGATGAGGACAAGGAGGAAAGTCGCATCATTCCAGCCAAAGATCTCAAGGATGTGTTCTTTTGCTGGAGAAAACTGTCCAAACTTGCTGAGGATTATCATCCTGATGTTGGTTCTGTGGAAAAGGCCATCAGTGTGTTTAATGACAATGTTATTAACTACTTTTGGAAGGTCCAGAAATCAAGGTTGAAGCAGCCAACCCTGGATTCCTTCTTTAAAAAGGTAACAAAAGACCCTACAGACAAAGTGCCTGTAAGACAGTCACCAAAGAAGGCTAGGAAGGATGACTCCTCTCCTTCCACCTCTTCTCCATAATTCTCTCCTCCCCCCTCCCCCTCTGCCTCCTGTCCTGCATGCTGAACAACACTAAGGTAAGATAAAGTACCGTATTTTTTACATATTCCACAGAAAATTTTCAGTGTTAAGTGGTTGTATTTGGGGGCCTGGGACAGATTAATCCTATAACGAACGAGGTTCTAGAACCAATTAGATTCGTTATAGCATACCCCACTGTATAATGAATAGTAATATGGTCAGACAAGAGGAGATGGGACGCCATTGTTTTCGTTTGTGTTTACAGCCGGGAGTCCGGGATGATAGTTCTACCCGAGAAAATTAAGAAAATAAGACCCTGGTTGTAGCTGTAGTAAATTTAATGTAAAAAAATTAATATATATGTTTTAAGTAACGTTTTTTAATGTTAATAAATGGAGCAACCTAAGTAGCTAACCACTAAAGGCAAAAAAAAAGGGAACGCCAACATATATGTGCGCATTTAAGGATACCGCGTCATTTATCTTAAGAATATGTGCAAAAGATTCATTATTGTTTATTACTGAATATGTATTTGATTGAATTAATGTTTATATATGCAAAATGAAAATACAATTCATTAATAATACGTAGAATATTAAAACACACACGAGGAGACAAGACGGCATTGTTTTCGTGAGTGACGATGGTTCTACATAAGAAACTGAAGAAAATAAGACCCTGATTGTAGCTGTAGTGAACTTGATTTAAAAAACTTAATACCTGTATGTATGTTTTAAGTAATGCTATTTAATGTTAATAAATGGAACACTAGGAGTAGCTAACCACTAATGGTAAAGAAATAAGGCGAGATGATTGGGAACGCCAACGTATGTACAGTAAGTGCGTACATGTGAAAACATATCGTCATTTCTCAACATATGAATATGAAAGCAACACTTATTTACTGTTCATATATGTTTTAAATAATATTTACGAATGTAAAACTAAAATTCTATTCACCAATGGTGGTAAAGTCTAAAACATAAGGACAGCCAATGAATATTGTGCGAGTTTTTACTCAGATGACAAAGTCATCAGGTTCAACTCTGGCTGAAGCTGTAGCTTTCCATAAAGTTGTTGCTGAAACTGTTATTGAATCTAAGTTGATGTTGAAGCTACTTATGATGCTGAATTTGATGGTGTAGCTGAAGTTGATGGTTTAGGCCTTCGAATAATAAACCTCTCGAAAGAACCTTGCACAGCTGCTTTCTTTTCTCATTATACATCTTTATGTAGAGGTAATTTGCATTTATTAAATTTTAAGGCTTTGTTCTTTTAATGGACCCACTTCAGAAAATATGTTCATTACTTGCTCCATATAATATCCACAGACCTCTCACCTTTTTCATATTTTAACACATCTAGTTTCTCTGCTAAGCTTATACACTTTCTATTAGCTTTTGAAACAACACTACCATCACTTGCTTTCTTGCTCATGTTGAATAGGGATGCAAAAATGCTGTAAGAAACCTGAGAAAGTTTTTCTCCAGTTCCTGTTCCAGATGCATGAAAACAAAAGGCCCGCCAAGCTCAGAGTGTTGTTTACCACTCATTAGAAAGAGAGCTTCTTTGTGCACGGCGTTCTTCATTTTTTACAGTAAATTTCTTTTTTTATAATATATATCCAGATTTAGTTATTATTTATATGAAAATGTAATTTTATTTTATTTTTATTATATTTTGGTCGTAAAAACAAAAGAAATAAGGATGTAAACTGAATGGGATCCTAAATTATCTAGGGTTTCAAATACGAATGAAATAAGGATGTACAGTTGTACCCCACTTAACGCGGTCAATTGAACCCAGAGGGTCCCGCGTTAAGTGAAATCCGCGTTAAGTGAACAACAGAACATATGGGATTAATTCCAATAGAAACCGGCCCGACCCCCAAACTCCACTTTTTGAAGGCACATACCTATGTTGTAGTAAAAATAACATCTTAATTTTATGATGGTACATGCACACAATTAATACTTTAGAGAAATAGAGAAATACAGTCGCCAAGTTAATGTCCATTCAAATAATGGACTCAACTCCCTCCCCCTCTCACACTACACTGCCGGCTCTTCCCTCTCAGAGAAATTTTTGGGGGAAAACCACTAAATTTTAATAAATAATACCTCAAACTAAAGTTAGGATGATACAATTGACATTGCTGGATTCCTTGTAAGACCAGGAATATTTTGAATATAAATGTCACATATTTTGCACAAAAGATAACATAGTTACCTAGAGAAAAATTTTTATCTAAAATTTGTATGTTTAATGCAAAATATATGATGTTTATATTCAAAATGATCACCAAATTATAAGAATTCCAGCAATGTAAATTATATTCTGACCGGGTAATTTGTATGAATTTTATGAGCTAAAACAAATATCTTCAGTTAATAAAAAAAAAAATAATCTTCACAACACTATCTGTCAATCAAAGTACCCCACCTTGCCTCCCCCCCTCTTCCAACCGCGCGGTCAGTCCCAACCCTCCCCCCCACCCCCCACCAATCCTCCCTTCCAGGGTTTTTAACATTTAGTATTAAATAATACCTCAGATTAAAGTTAGGATAATATAATTGACATTGCTGGATTCCTTGTAAGACCAGGAATATTTTGAATATAAATGTCATATATTTTGCACAAAAGATAACATAGTTAATTTGAGAAAAAATTTTATCTAAAATTTGTATGTCTAATGCAAAAATATGATGTTTATATTCAAAATGATCATCAAATTATAAGAATTCCAGCAATGTAAATTATATTCAGACCGGGTAATTTGTATGAATTTTATGAGCTAAAACAAATATCTTCAGTTAATAAAAAAAAAAATAATTCTTCACGGGGTAACAGATGGTCGGTCGGTCCCTCCCTCCCCCCCACCCCCCACCAACCGTCCCAAGGAGATGTGTGGGATAACCACTAAATTTTAATAAATAATACCTCAAACTAAAGTTAGGATAATATAATTGACATTGCTGGATTCCTTGTAAGACCAGGAATATTTTGAATATAAATGTCATATATTTTGCACAAAAGATAACATAGTTACTCTGAGAAAAATTTTATCTAAAATTTGTATGTCTAATGCAAAATATATGATGTTTATATTCAAAATGATCACCAAATTATAAGAATTCCAGCAATGTAAATTATATTCTGGCCGGGTAATTTGTATGAATTTTATGAGCTAAAACAGGCAGTCAGGCAGGGTGGGGCAAATCTAAAAATAGCGTCTCGAGCCGGACACTCACCGCGTATATGTGGAAAAAATCCGTGTTAAGTGAAAGTTCAGCTCTGGCGAGGCACCACGTATATGATAAAACGCGTTAAGTAAAACCGCGTTAGGCGGGGTAATACTGTAAACTGAATTGAGTCCTAAATTATCTAGGGTTTCAAATATGAAAAGTTTTTGGTTGAACCGTTGTTATCTTAGGCTTCCCTGTATATATATATGCTGTATATATACAGTACATATTAATTAAAATAAATTAAGACAATGGTTTAGTAGTGCTATTAATGTGTGTGCTGGCTTAAACCTGAATCACTCTTCATGAAATATATTCAGCAACATAAACCAGTGATACTCCCTTACCAGTGTGTTCATTAATGTGGTGTTATCAATATGAGGGAGCGCCGAGTTGAGGGCAGACAGTGTACTGGCAGAGTTAGCCATGTTGCGTAGCTCTTCAATAGTATCAGCACATGGTGTCTGCATCAACTCTTCTGGGCTCGGATTATGACGCCACCCACAAGCTTCTTTGTGGCTCTCTCTAAGGCGGTGCTTAAGCAGATTTAAAAATTTGCAATCTGGAATACACAAAGAAAGTTTCAGCCTAAAGATAAGACAGCATCAGTTTAAATACTGGATAAATCTTACAAATATACAACACAGTATAACACCTTGTAAAGAATAAAAGATAACTAACATGCTTCTCTGTCAGCAGGATCAGGAAGGATGGCACAAACCACTTCCTGGCATGTAACACACTGCAGGACATCCTTCTCCAGCAAGTGCCAACCCCACCTGGCACATTCCAGAGGGCTCACTTCCAACACATTCCAAAGTCCTGGACGGAAGGAGTCTACTCGACTATAAAATGCTTCATGATTCTGGGGTTGAGTCTTGGTTGAAATTGAAACAGTAGTGCCCGTGCTCTCTTTATCACCACTGTAATACACAAGCATATTTCTAAACCAAACAGAAACTACATATATAATAAGTTATGGTATGCATTCTTTCTAACTTATCTACTCTTCAACTTATTACCTCTAACCTTAAATGTGTTGCTTGTAAAACCAGCTTACTGTACTTTTAAAATCATAGAGATTGTCAATAGCCAATGATATGGTGGCTGTCTCAAAGACTATGCCCCAGATTCACTAAACTGACCATAACTTTGATCGTATCTCTCCCTATACTGTATCTCGAAAGGCTACGGTGACCGTATGATATTGGCAATAGGCGATTCACTAAAGGTTTATATGGCAACTGCAAGTAAGTTTAGTTCAGTAAGCTACCACTATATGGAGTTCGGGTGTATTGGTTTTGTTTCCTCATTAGACCAATTACTGTGTGCTGAATAAACAATATAAAGGAATATATATTAACCAATCACTAATTTACCAATACCAGCAGACGACACAAAGTCACAAGAACAATGGAAGGACAATAGTTTAAAAGAAAAGGCAGATGAATTTCTCTGATGAGATTTTTGTTAATAATAAAATTAATGAAGTAATAATAATAATGTAACAACAATAATAATACTGTAATATGATCATTATATTACAGTACAGTGGGGTATGCTATAACGAACGGATCCTACTACAAATATTCCCATAACGAACGGTTTTACCTATAAAATTGAGAATGCTATAACGAACGCAACTCCTACAACGAACGCGGATGAATACGGGACTATTTCGCCTGGCGCATGAATATTGTTGGACCGCGACCCACAACAAGAGCGTCAGGCGCTATCTTTGTCTCATTGTGTAGCCAGTGCACCACTGTTATTGTTGAAATTTCGTCTTTTGATGTGGAAATAAGAGTTATTTGTATAAATATTTTGTTATACAAGTGTACAATTGTAACAATGAATCGCCCAAAGCGAGTGAGAAAGCTCATAACTCTTGAAACTAAGAAAGAAATCATAAAGAAACGTGAGGATGCAACAAGCATTGCGAAACTTAGTGATGAGTATGGGATGGCTAAATCGACTACAGTATATGTACGATTTTAAAGAATAAAGAGGAGTTGAAAACTGTGCAAGTGGCTAAGGGAATCTCTAGACTTAGCAAAGCAAGGTGTAATGTGATTGAGGAGACGGAAAATTTACTCTTAGTGTGGATAAAGGAGAAAGAAATGGCAGGTGATAGCATTAGTGAAGCTATAATTTGTGAGAAGGCCAGACAATTGTTTGAGGACCTTAAAGTCAAGACTCCCAGTGCAAGTGATAGTGATGTGCCAGTGTTTAGAGGTACCAAGGGGTGGTTTACTGGTTTCAGAAGGAGAAATAAATTACATAGTGTTGTGAGACATGGTGATGCTGCTAGTGCAGATAAGGAAGCAGCTAAGGAACACCATGACAATTTTTTGAATGTGATTAAAGAGGGAGGCTTTGTTTTTCAGCAGGTATTCAACTGTGATGAAACTGGACTTTTTTGGAAAAAAATGCCTCGCCGTACAACATTACCAAGGAGGAAACTTCTGTCCCTGGCCATAAGGCAGTGAAAGACAGGCTTACCCTCCTTCTTTGTGCTAATGCTTCTGGTGACTGCAAAATAAAGCCACTCCTTGTGTACCATGCAGAAAACCCCAGAGCTTTCAAAAACATTAGGAAGACCCGCCTTGGTGTTATGTGGCGGTCAAACCCAAAGGCATGGGTGACCAGGAGTTTGTTCTCCGAGTGGGTGATTGAGGTGTTTGGACCCAGTGTTCGGGAATACCTCAGGGAGAATAATCTTCCACTGAAAACTTTGTTGGTGATGGACAATGCACCAACCCACCCTCCTAATTTGATGGTTGAATTGCCAGAGGAGTTCAACTTCATCACTGTGCACTTCTTGCCACCCAACACAACACCTCTCATCCAGCCCATGGATCAACAGGTAATTTCTAACTTTAAGAAGCTGTACACAAAGGCACTGTTTAGAAAATGTTTTGCATCCACTTCTTCCAGTGATGTTAGTTTGAAGGAATTCTGGAAGAGTCACTTCAATATAGCAGACGCTGTTTTTTTAATTACCTCAGCCTGGAAAGAGGTTACTGTGAGGTGTCTTTGTGCTGCTTGGAGGCCATTGTGGCCTGAATGTGTGCTTCAAAGAGACTTTGAAGGCTTCGAAGAGTTAGAAGAAGAGGCTGTTGTTCATGAAATTGTGTCTCTGGGCAATTCCATGGGCTTGGAAATGGATGATGTTGAGGAGTTGGTGGAAGAGCACAGTAAGGAACTGTCCACTGAGGAGCTGCTTGAGCTTCACAAAAAACAAAATGAGACACTGAAGCGGAGCTTAACTTCTGAGGAGTCAGGAGAGGATGAGGACAAGGAGGAAAGCCACATCATTCCAGCCAAAGATCTCAAGGATGCGTTCTTTTGCTGGAGCAAACTGTCCAAACTTGCTGAGGATTATCATCCTGATGTTGGTTCTGTGCAAAAGGCCATCAGTGTGTTTAATGACAATGTTATGAACTGCTTTTGGAAGGTCCAGAAATCAAGGTTGAAGCAGCCAACCCTGGATTCCTTCTTTAAAAAGGTAACAAAAGAACCTACAGACAAAGTGCCTGTAAGACAGTCACCAAAGAAGGCTAGGAAGGATGACTCCTCTCCTTCCACCTCTTCTCCATAATTCTCTCCTCCCCCCTCCCCCTCTGCCTCCTGTCCTGCATGCTGAACAACACTAAGGTAAGATAAAGTACCGTATTTTTTACATATTCCACAGAATTTTTTCAGTGTTAAGTGGTTGTATTTGGGGGCCTGGAACGGATTAATCCTATAACGAACAAATGCTATAACGAACGAGGTTCTAGAACCAATTAGATTCGTTATAGCATACCCCACTGTATTAGTGTTATTTTGGAGCAAATGCACTTATAATTCTTGATACAATTGATTGTCTTGAGTTAGCAATGTCATCAACTAAACTCTTAAAAAAAAAAAAAAAAAAAAAAACAATTGTAAAAATCCTCAAAGCTATTTACACATACGTATCTAGCCAAAGTATATCCCTTCATAGCAGTAAGTGGTCATCAATTTGTAGAGGGTCCAAAGGATCCCTAAACACTTTTTCTCTCCAGAGTGCACAGTCATGAACTAAAGTAATCATTAGTTACACCTTCACAGCTTCACTCTTCTCACTAGTGGTGCTTAAAGTACTGTAAGTTTGTGTGTGTGTGTCATGACAGGTTATATTGAAGAGAAAATGGGAGTTATTTTTGTCTTGCGAAAACTTATGGGAGATCAGTGGTCACCGTTACCCTGTATGACACGTTGGGTTACAGTGTCCATAAACTTGTCACAAAAACAAACAGCAATCCAATCTATTTGTACTATATCTTATCCCACTTGCTGGATGTTTTGCTTGCCAAGGCTAGTAAATTGGCATGTTTTATCTACTTTCCTGCTCTGGAAGTACTGATGTATAAAATAAGTGTCTCATAGGTCACACCATAGAAAAATTAATGTTCTTCACCTTTTCTTCTTTTTCAGGTGAAGAAATCATAACATATCAATAAAAATTATAAATAAATTAACACTAGAAGAAAGTCAGTCTAATATTCATGAATGGAAATTCAGATGCTACACAGTGATCAGTTGCTAAGCAATATAATTCAACAACCCACACAGCTAAGTACTGCTGAAGCCCAATTTATCTTATATCAATATACAGGTAGTCCCGACTTACGACTGCATGGACTTACGTCCATCGGTACTTACGACTGCATGGACTTACGTCCATCGGTACTTACGACCTGCTCAGACCTTACGACCGTCGGGACATACGACCGCGGCAGTCGTGACCACAAATATTTTCAAACGAAGCACGCATTTTCTATACCGAAACGTTTCTGTCCCGGGCGAGAGCGTGGTGCGGCTGGGTCGTCGCGTGGGTACACTCACTCAGTGGAGCGCTTAGTTGGTGTTTGGCTATCGTATCCTATACAGATCGTGCTGTGAACTTTCGTTATTATAGTATATAATTGACTTTATAATGACTGGAAAGCGTAAAAATGAGAGTGCTGGTGGTGCTCCAAAGAAAAGGAGAGAGGCAATTACTTTTGAGATGAAAATGAAGATAATAACTCAGCATGAGAATGGAAAGACTGTAGCAACAATCTCACGTGACCTAGGTTTCTCACTCTCGACTATATCCACTATTCTGAAGGACAAGGAACGTATTCGTGATGTAGTGAAAGGAACAACACCAATAAAGGGAACTGTAATTTCAAAGAAAAGACATGGTCCTATTCACGATATGGAAAAATTATTGGTGATATGGATAGAAGACCAGATACAGAAGCGAGTACCCTTAAACCTTCTAACCATACAGGCTAAAGCAAGAAGCCTGTTCCAAAGCCTGAAGGAGCAGGCAGGAGATGAATGTGATCAAACCTTAACAGGAAGTCATGGGTGGTTTGATAGATTTAAAAAACGCTACAGTCTACACAATGTTAAGGTGGAGTGGAGAGACAGCTAGTGCCGATGTTGGTGCTGCCGAAGCTTTTTTAGGAGGAGTTAGATGAAGTGATTGTGGAAGGGAATTATTTGCCTGAGCTAATATTCAAAGTGGATGAGACTGGATTATTGTGGAAGCGCATGCCTGAGCGGACATACATCAACAAAGAGGCGAAAACAATGCCAGGATTCAAGGCATTCAAGGACAGAATTACACTTCTGTTGGGGGGGAATGTTGCTGGTTTCAAGCTAAAGCCCTTCATGATCTATCATTCAAAGAACCCCAGGGCTTTTAAACATGCCAGAAAGCACACACACTGCCAGTGTTTTATCACAGTAATAAGAAAGCCTGGATGACCTTAGCACTGTTTGAGGATTTGTTCATGAATTGTTTCATTCCACGAGCCAAGGAGTATTGTCTGCAACAACGGATTCCGTTCAAGATTTTGCTGATTTTGGATAATGCTCCGGGACACCCACCACACCTGGATGACATGCACCCTGATGTTAAGGTAGTCTACATTCCACCTAACACTACCTCTATCATCCAACCCATGGATCAAGGTGCTATTGCTGCCTTTAAAGCGTATTATTTAAGCACGACCTTCGCTCAGGCTGTTGCTGCTACTGAAGGTGAGAAAACGCTCAGAGAGTTTTGGAAGGAGTACAACGTTTTGTCATGTATAAAGAACATTAGTGCAGCATGGGATCAGGTTACAAAACATTACATGAATGGAATATGGAAGAAAATCTTGAAAAGATATGTGAACGGTTTTAAAGGATTTAATGAAATGAAGTTATTTCGGATATTAGTAACAAGATACTGGAGTTAGGTAAACAGCTGGAGTTAGAAATTGATAATGAAGATGTTGAACAGTTGGTTGAAAGTGTAGCAGAAGAGCTCAGTAACGAGGATCTTATTGAGCTAAATGCACAGAAAATTGTAGAGGAAGAAGAGAGACAAAATGTAGAAGAACCTGCACCTCCCCAAAAGTTTTCAGTGAAACAAATGGCAGAGGCATTTGCTACAATTAATAAAGGAATGCAAATGTTTGATGGCATGGATCAAAATTATGAGCATTATGCCAAAGTTGCCAGAATGGTCCAAGAGTCACTTGCGTGCTACAGGGAGATTTATAAGGAAAAGAAAAAGCAAACTGTGCAGTCTAAATTGGACCTCTACCGTATATACTCGTCTATAACCCCCCTTCGTTTATAGGTCGACCCTGATTTTTTGACCAAGAAATCGTTTATTTATGATATTCCTCATTTATAGGTCGACCCAAGTTTTTGAGGGTAATGGAACAACAAAACCTTCAGTAAAAACACTTTACGTCCTTTAAACTGAGGCTTGCCATGCCTGAAACACCGAGTGCTGAAGGCAAATTGTTTACCATTTATTATTACAACACTTTACACTGAAAAGCAGGTAGTTTCAACATATATATTGTATACAGTATTTCCATTCAAGTATTTATTCAAGTCAATTAGAAGGGAATGTTATTATACAACAGTTTTTTGACTGAAAACCATTCGAAAAGCGATTACGGTAACATCTTTTGAACGAAAGAAAGCGAAAGTCATTGTTTTCGTCACGATTTTATCCCACTTTCCACTGTAATACGTACGTCATTTCAGCAAAAAATATTACATTTCCGTGAATGTATTATACCAACCACAGTATGAATAGAATATCACTAATATAACAGTATTTTAACTGAAAACTATTAATAAAACAAGTAACATCTCTTGAACATCGGAAGGTTAGGTAAAGTCTTTTGTTTTTGTCATGTAGTTTATCCTAATTTACATTGAAATACATCACGTTTCAGCAAAACTACTATTTATTTCTGAGAATATGGAAATGTAATATTTTTGCTTAAATGATGTACGTATTACAGCGGAAAGTGGGATAAAATCGTGACGAAAACAATGACTTTCGCTTTCTTTCGTTCAAAAGATGTTACCGTAATCGCTTATTGAATGGTTTTCAGTTAAAAACTGTTGTATTACAATAATATTCTATTCTAATTCACTTGTAATGTAACATTTTTTTAACTGAAAACGATTCGAAAAACACCGTCTAGCTCAGTGGTTCTCAACCTTGTTTGCCCCATGCACCCCTTTCACCATATGTCAGAATGTCATTCCCCCCTCCTTTCCAAGATTGTCTGCCTCAAAAAGTGCATTCCAAATAATATGCATATAATACTGAAAATCCTTTATTTTTCCATATTAGTACATATACATTTACAATTTTACATGGATTATTTTTATAGTGGAGTTTTACAAATTAAATGCCAATTGAAAATGTTGATGGATTTATAAAACTTGAATAAAAGTAAAATAGTTTTTTTTATATTTATAATGAATTACTTAACAGATCAAACTGAAGCATAATGCAATAAACAAAAAGTTCAATAGAATACCAGGATATTCTAAATTTGTAATTAATTTTATTCAGATGAAGATTACAGTCAATGAGAAACCTGTGATTGTTTTTTCTTCGCCAATTCTGGGATACGCGGAGGAGTACTTGAAAGGGCACAACGCAGGTCATTTTCTACCTCTAATCTACTACGTTGCTTCATTTTATTTGCAACAGAGTTTAAAAGCCTGACTCACAAAGATATGTCGACACAAACGGAAGCAATGCACGGATAGCTCTTTCTGCCACTTTTGGGTAGGAATCACACATCAAGGGCCAAAATTCTGTGATTGATTTCTCATCGAACATATCTCTTGCTCCCGAATCAGTTTTCCCCCCCCTGAAAACCTGAATTCCCCCCCCTGGGGGGAATTCCCCCCTGGTTGAGAACCCCTGGTCTAGCTGCTACGGCAGAGCCCTGGTTGCGGAGGCTTTGTTTTTGCATCGGCCCTTCCACAGTACATAAACCTGTCTGAAGGAAGCGACATTGATGACCCACCCAGCCCTGTCTCCTCCTCTGCTTCATCCAATTAATATAGTCTCCATGTATCCTGCAAATAGAAAATTATGGGGTCCCCATGTGCATTCAGCTGACTACATTAAAGGTTAAGTGCTCAGTCACACTGTATCCATTCCTCATTATTTATTACTTTCACTGTACTGTATCCATTCCTCATTATTTATTACTTTTACTGTACTGTATTTCATTGTAAATTTTTTTTAAATTGAATTTTTTTTTATTTTGTTATTTATTTATATATATATTTTTATCTATGTCGGACTTACGACCTGGATTTGGGTCCCTAACCCCGTCTAAGTCAGGGAGAGACTGTATAGGTATTTGTCAAGCCCTCCTATTTGCGACCCAACCAGCAGGTAATTGGTTGTCATAAACAATAGGGCCAAAAGTCCATTTGAACCACATAAAGTACAGTACAGTTCAGTTCAATACAGTTCAGTTCAGTTCAGTTCAGTACAGTACAGTTCAGTTCAGCTCAGTAAAGCCTCGAATAACGACGGTAATGTGTCCTCCAATACTGTAGTGTAAGGTGAATCAACGTATAATGAATCATTAATTACCATTAAAATAAAGCAATAATAATTAGATGGGCTCCAAGGTCTGACCCTTTCATATATGGTGTGTGGTATTTTACCCTTTCCCCCCCCAAAAGTAAAATTAATGAAAAATAAAAAATATAGTCTTTAATAAATGGTTATTAATGCACCTCATACAATATAAATGAATAATAATATGAGTCAAACAAGAGGAGATGGGACGCCATTGTTGTAATCAGTGTTTAAACCCGGGACCATGGTTCTCCACCTGAAACTGAAGAAAATAAGATTTGTTGTAGCTGTAGTAAAAATAATGCAAAAAAAAAAATACTTCTTTTAATTAATGTTATTGAATGAATGTACAGTAGAAGTAACCATTGATGGTAAAGAAAAGTTAGACAGCAGAAGGCCAACGTTCAGACGCGCACAATCATGTAAACGGTGTCATTTCTCTTAAGTACAAAACATTCATTATTGTTTATTACTGAATGTCTTTTCGATTGAATTAATGTTTATATGTGCAAAATGAACAATACAATTCATCAATAATACGTAGAATATTAAAACACACACGAGGAGACGAGACGGCATTGTTTTCGTTAATGTTTACAAAACCAGTGACTGACTGGTTCTACATATAAAACTGAAGAAATAAGACCCTGGTTGTAGATGTAGTAAAATTAATGTAAACATATCAATATGGTTGTTTTAAGTAATGTTATTTAATGTTAATAAATGGAACAATATAAGTAGCTAACCATTAATGGCAAAGAAAAAAGTGAGACTGCGCAACGTATGTAAGTGTGCACATGTGAAAACATATCGTCATTACTCTACATAAGAATATGAAAGCAACACTTATTACTGTTCATATATGTTTTAATTAATGCCTCTGAATTTAAAACAAAAATTCTACTCACCATTGGTGGTAAACTTGAAAACATAAGGACCCACTTACATTAGTAGACGAGATGCGTCGGCACACGTGGATGGCGGCTGGTTCCGAAGCAGAGGGCAGATTAGTTGCCCTCCGGTGAATCACTTTCACTATTCACAGAGGTTTGCAGGGCCTCCCTGACAAACCCCTCAAAGTCCATATCCTCACTGTCACTATCACTGACTTGGGCTGGCTGTGGTTGTGGTGGGTTACGGGCGAAGAAGTCCATAATACTACGTTGACGACTAGCATTGATGTCATCATACATTTGGACATATGGCTCCATAAATTTTGACAGAAGGTTATTAGACACTTCATACCGATGCTTAACTATGTCTTTGTCAAGGATGAGCTTGATTTTCTCTGCCAACTTGATGACTTCCTTCACATAACCATGGCTTGGTCCAGGTAGTTCAAGGTTTCTCGGGGGTGGTGGGGGTCCAGTGGAGCCATTTTAAGGGGAATAGCAGGCACAAGAGAGAACAGTATACGCAAAGACTGAGAACAATGAGACTGGCCCGGTTAGGTCAGCGACTTCTTCCCTCTGGTGGCAGGGCACGTCATGTTACATTAGACCAATCACAGCCAGCGGCGGAGGGAGGTAAGGATGTGTGGCCCAATCACAGTCCGATACTTCATATGATGTCAGCGAGAACGTAAGAGCGACCTAATGCGCACCCTCCAGGCACCGCTTCCAGCGCAAATGATGGAATGAACCGCGTAACTTAAAATTTTCGTTCTGGCAAGGTGCCGCGTAAATGACCAAACACGTAAATCAAGACTACTGTATTATTGTCGCATTTTCGACTTATGCCTGGATTTGGGTCCCTAACCCAGTTGTAAGTCGAGGAATATATATATATATATATATATATATATATATATATATATATATATATATATATATATATATATATATATATATATATATATATATATATATATATATATATATATATATATATTTCATTAGCCCAATAATACACGGGGACTTCTACATACAATCAACACCTCAACCCGCCAGGATTCGAACCCACGGCCCACAAGCCTATGACTGTGACCGGGGAACACTAACAGCTGGACCACAAGGATACTAAAAGCAGTCCTAGACTTTGTTATATTTCACACAAAGCCTGTTCAACGAGCTTATGGCACCGTGAACCTCTAATGGGGACTACCCGTATCACGTAGGTGGTCAGAGTAACGTTTTACCAAATCCGGCTTCGAAACACAAGGATCCATATATATTTCATTAGCCCAATAATACATGTGGACTTCGAAGCCAGATTTGGTAAAATGTTACTCTGACCACCTAAGTGATACGGGTAGTCCCCATTAGAGGTTCACGGTGCCATAAGCTCTATCCTTATCCGGGAGAAAGCTAAGTCTCTACACACACGCTTCACGCCTGCAGCTAAGGAACCCGTACCCAGTACCAGTGCTGCTACCCCCACACCCGAGACACCTCCGACACCTTTCCAAGCCAGCAAGGGGTGGTTTGAGAATTTCAAGCGTCGATTTGGCCTGAAGAATGTGAAGATGACTGGGGAGGCTGCGTCAGCAGACACCATGGCTGCAAAAACTTTCCCAGCAGAGTTGAAAGCAATACTCGAGGAGCAGAGTTACAAGCCAGAACAAGTTTGGAATATGGACGAAACAGGTAAGACAATAAATTACTACTGTACATTTAACCTTAAAAATGCTCAAATACCTGTTGTACTGTACGTACTGTATTGTGTTGTAAGAGAAGATGGGATAAATGCGTCTGAGTTTTATACAGTAGCTTTTATATTTTTATTCCGTAGTGATTTACCATACAGTGTGGTGTAATATTTTTATACCAATTTTGATACCGTATACTGTATGTATAATAGTACAGGGTGTACTACGAGTAATTTCTTTTCCAACAGGTTTGTTCTGGAAAAAGACGCCACAGCGCACTTTCATCGCCCAAGAAGAACGCCGTGCACCAGGATTCAAGGCAGCCAAGGACAGGTGCACCGTGCTATTTTGTGGCAATGCTGCGGGTCACCTCATTCGCCCAGGCTTCATATACAAGTAAAAATGCACAGCACAGTACAGTTCAGTACAAGTACTGTACATAGGAAGTGGAGGTGCAGTTATTCACAAAACATTTGTGTTTGTTGTCGGCAGTAGTGACGGAGCAGAGGGTGAGGAGAGAGCGGAGGGAGCGATTTGGGAGGAGTGGTGAGGTGACCTTGGACGCAGGAGCAGGGACGAGTGGAGATGCCAGCCAGTACATTACGGGTGTATAAATTGTTTTTATAGCTATTTTTGTATTTTTCATATTAAATACTGTACATTACGTTTCAACAAAACTGCCATTTATTTCTGAGAACATAGAAATGTAATATTTTTGCTGAAATGATGTACGTATTACAGTGGAAAGTGGGATAAAATTGTGACGCAAGCAATGATTTTCGCTTTCTTTTGTTCAAAAGATGTTGCCGTAATCGCTTTTCGAATGGTTTTCAGTTGTGGGATTATAAGGCTAATGATAGGATAGAATATTATTGTAATACAGTACGAGTACAACAGTTTTTTAACTGAAAACCATTCGAAAAGCGATTACGGTAAAATCTTTTGAACAACGAAAGAAAGCGAAAGTCATTGTTTTCATAATTTTATCCCACTTTCCACTGTACAGTAATATGTACGTCATTTCAGCCAAAATATTACATTTCCATATTTATTTCTGAGAATATATTCATTCAGTCACAGTTAAGGTAAAATATACTTGTGATGCAATATTTTAATGAAAATACGGTATCGTAGTTTTCTTTTGTATCAAATTTAATTAACAAAGATTGATGTTTCAAATGTAATGAACAAAAATTTATGTACAGTATCTATAATAAACTTTAAAAAATGAATACTTTGTTTTACATCGTCCTGTGCATACCATACCATGGATTTGGCTACTTTGGGCTTGCTATGATGACGCAAGAGATCTGCCCTGGCGACTGTACCGACACTCACAGCTGGTGGTGCGTTGGTGCGTCGTTTCCATTGTTTACTGGTAGTTACTGGTAAATATTTTTCAACCTAACGAAACTATTACCCGTTTAGAGGTCGACCCCCAATTTTTGCCAAATAATTTGGTCTTAAAAACTCGAACTACACACAGGTATATACGGTAAATAAGGACATGGGGGGCCAGGGTTTTTTTAGGGGCAGCAATAGTACACGGATTTTAACATTCACGGGTATCTGTTACCTAACCCCCGCGAATGTTAAGGGCCGACTGTATTATAAAGTTTATTTATAGATATACATAAATATACATTTATATAATAAATTTATATATATATATATATATATATATACATATATATCAGAAATAAATACAGTCAACCCTCGCTTTACGAGGTTCCACATTCCGCCATGTTGTGTAAGCGGCGCGAGTAGGTTGCGCAGTGTGTCTTTGTTGCGTTATCAGTGACGTCATATGACGTATCGGACTGTAATTGGGCCATGCATCCTTACCTCCCTCCGCTGCTAGCTGTGATTGGTTTAAAGTAATATGACGTGTCCACCCGCGGGAGGGAGGGAGGGAGGAAAGAAGATGCTTGACCTAGCCGCGGCAGTTTCATCCCTCCAGGCCACACCATGTAATCGTGCATCCATTGTTCTGTAAAATGGCTTCCGCCGGACCACTGCCCCTAGAGAGAAACCTTTCCTTACCTGGACCCAGCCGCCCTAAGCCAAAGAAGACACGACGTTCCTTAAGCTACGAAATTAAGTATAAGATCATACAAGAGTTGGAGAAAGGAACAAGACAGGTTGATCTCGCGCGCCAGCATGGTGTTAACGAGTCTACGATCATGACAATTAAGAAGGATGCAGCCAAGATAAAGGAGCACATGAACATCACAAAGTCTACAGGTGCTTCTATGATCAAGTATTTCCACAACCAGGTGCTTCTCAAGACGGAAAAATTACTTGTGAGCTACTTGGTGCGTCAGGCGCGACGGAACATGGCGGTGGACACTCGCTCAGTTAAGGAGTACGTACGTGAACTGTATGCTGCAGTGTCATGAAAGATGGGAATTACAGAGCCCAAACCCTTTAATGCTTCCTCTGGGTGGTTACAGAGGTTTAGGAAGAGGAACAAGATCACCAATATCAACATTGGTGGTGAAGAAGCTAGTGCTGACCGTGTTGCAGCTGGGGAATTTCCTCCGTTTTTATGTGAGATTATGGAGGAAGGACAGTACACCGACGACCAGGTGTTTAACATGGACGAATCTGGTCTTTTTTGGAAAAAGCTACCTTCCAAGACCTTCGTTGTGAAGAATGCCAGAAAGATTCGGGGCCGGAGGTTGCAGAAGGAGCGCATCACCGTCCTGTTTACCACCAATGCCTCCGGTACCTGTAAGCTCACGTTATCGGTGATCCACACATCACGCAAGCCGCACGCCTACAAGAGCATGGACATGACCAAGCTAAATGTTCACTGGCTGACCGCACGTAAGGCGTGGATGTTCTCTACACTGTCCCTCTCCTGGTTTGATGACTGTTTCGTTCCCGATGTGAAGAAATTCTGTGAGCAACAGAATGTGCCATTCAAGATTTTGTTGCTGCTGGACAACGCACCAGGACACTCGCCCCTACTGTTAGATCGTCACCCCAATGTAAAAGTGGTCTTCCTTCCTCCCAACACTACGTCTATATTACAGCCCATGGACCAAGAGTTAATCTGTAATGTAAAAGCTGCATTCTCTACTAAGAAATTCAAGCTCCTGAACGACTACACCAACACCAGGGAAGAGTTGCGTAACCTGAGTGACACCACCACCGATAGCAAGAGCGAAGACGACGAGGATCAACAGTTGGCAGAGCAAGAAGTACTTTTGAAACAATTCTGGAGAACATTCAACATCAAGAAAGCTGTGGACTTCTTGGTGGAGGCATGGGATCAGCTGTCTGTAGCAACTGTTCGTCACGCATGGAGACATGTGTTGCAAGGTATTCCAGGTGGGAGGCAGAGTAAATCTGTGACTGGTGAGGTTCAGACTGTTGCAGTAGCAGTGGACCTTGCCAGAGAAGCTGCGCAGAGTGTTACAGCTGCAGGCTTCTCCGAGACCACCAACGACGACATCCTGGCGGTGATAAGGGATCCTGATGTGACTACCGAAGAGATGGTAGATGATGATGGCGTCAGTGAAGAGGCAGGTGGTGCGTCATCCCAAGAAGAAAGCCGCTTATCCCATAGTAATGTTAGGAGTGCCATCGAGTGTATCGAGAAAGTCAAGCTCCTCCTTTCCGACGACCCTGGCGCAAACAGTTATGAAATCTTCACTACCCAGCTGTTGCAGACTATGGAGCCCTACATCAAGGTTTATCACGACAACATAAACACCAGCCGTCAGCAAAGCATAACAGAGTTCTTCGCCCACAACCCACCACAGCCAGCCCAAGCCAGTGATAGTGACAGAGGTAGAGACAGTGATGATGACTTTGAGGGATTTGTCAGGGAGGCCCTGACAAGTGTGGATGACAGTGATGGTGACTCACCTGAGGGCCAGTAGCCTGCCCTCTGCCTCGGAACCAGCCTCCATTCCCGTACGCCGGCCCATCTCTTCTACTAACGTAAGTGTTAACCCCAACCTTGTTTTTTTCTAACCTAACCTTCAGTTTATTGACTGTTCCTTTCTATATTATGTGTGGGTGAATACCATCATAAAGTTAAGATGTTATTTTTAGTAAAACGTACGTATTGTGTGGGGAAAAAGTGGAGTTTGGGGGTTGGCCCGGCCTCTATTTCAATTAATCTCATATGTTATGTTGTTCACTTTACGCGGGCCGCCGTGGGTTGAATTAACCGCGTAAAGTGAGGGTTGACTGTAGTAGTTTTGTTGAAACGTAATGTACAGTATTTAATATTAAAATGCATAAAGAGCTATACAGTGACCCCTCGTTTAACGAACGCCTCGGTTAACGAACTGCCTTCCATAAGGATTTTCAATTCGGTTAATGAACAAAAATTCGGTTAACGAATTTCTTACGAACCGACCTCAACATGTTTTCGCTTGCGCTGACCGGGCAACCAGCTTTAGTATCAGTCCGCCAATACATTAATCGGTTCTAGGGCTTAAATTCCTTACTATTTTAGTAAATATCAAGAAGTTTATACTATTCAATAATTTTAAAAGTTTAATATTAACTTTTTTAGTCATTTTAACAATTATTGAACATAATTGAAGGTAAAGAAACTAGTTTCTGGCATGCCATCCAGCCTGTTAACACACCAGACAGGCGTTAGTCTCTCTCTGTTTTCAGTGGAGGTAACATCTTGCTTGAGACTCTCTTCAACTAAACGCTTTTTTTCTGTGTTTCCAAGCAAATTATTGGTCATTTTGAAATATATTTTACATATTGACAATATATAATGCAGTGCAGTGTTGATTTAAAGAAAATAATCTTGAAATACACCAAGAGAACTAAAATTTTATGGATGAAATGGTGCCATGGGGTGACTTCTCTTCCACCCCAATGCCTTTTCTTCTTCCTTCTCCTCCACCCCCATTCTAATTCCCATCATCATCATCATCATCCAGGAGCCTTCTACATACACACCTCAAAGTAAGTGAACTTTTCTACCATTTTTGTTGAATTTAGAAAATTTTTGGTGAGCTGGAACCAATTACCCAAAAACCCATTGAAACAATGGTTTCGGTTAACGAACGACCTTCTGGAACGGATTGAGTTCGTTAACCGAGGGGTCACTGTAAAAACAATTAATACTGTACACCTGTAATGTACTGGCTGGCATCTCCACTCGTCCCTGTTCCCGCCAGTCACCAATCCTCCCCGCTCTATGCCTCCGCCTCCTCCACATCGTCACTACTGTTGTATTACAATAATATTCTATCCTAATTCACTTGAATAAATACTACGATGCCATATTTCTGAATATTTTCATTAAAATCCATCAAAATCATTTTCCTTGTCATCAGCACTAAACAGCTCCTCCCAGTTTTCTCTTTGAACAGGGCTAGAGGGTACATGTTTTTCGAATAGTTTTCAGTTCACAA